TTCGGCGTTGGGTTTGGCCACCCAAAATGGCGACGTTCGGCGTTGGGCGTTGGGTTTGGCCAACCGGAATGGTGAGATTTGACTTTGGACGATGGGTTTGGCCAACCAGAACGGTGAGATTTGACTTTGGATGATGGGTTTGACCACCCAAAATGGCGACGCTCGGCGTTGGGTGCTGGTTTTGGCCAACCGGAATGGTGAGATTTGACTTTGGACAATGGGTTCGGCCAATCAGAACGGTGAGATTTGACTTTGGATGTTGAGTTTGGCCAATCAGAACGGTGAGATTTGACTTTGGATGATGGGTTTGGCCAATCAGAACGGTGAGATTTGACTTTGGATGTTGAGGTTGGCCAATCAGAACGGTGAGATTTGACTTTGGATGTTGAGGTTGGCCAATCAGAACGGCAAACCTCAACTTTGGACAATGAGTTTGGCCACCCAAAATGGCGACGCTCGGCGTTGGGCAGCATCGGGTTTGGCCAACTGGAACAGTGAGGTTTGACTTTGGACGATGAGTTTGGTTATGATGGCGTCCGTGTTGACGTTGGCTTTTGGGTTTGGCCACCCCAAAATGCCGAGGTTCAGCATTGGGCCTTGAGTTTGGCCACCCAAAATGGCGACGTCTGGCGTTGGGCCTTGAGTTTGGCCAACCGAAACGGTGAGATTCGGCTTTGAACCATGGCTTTGGCCAAGCAGAATGGCAAAATTCAGCACTGGGCGTTGGGTTTGGCCACCCAAAATGACAAAGTTCAGCTTTGGACGACGGCTTCGGCCGTCAGAACGTCGGCGTTGGGTTTTGGCTGCCCCACATCCCTCAGAATTGCCCTAAAAGGTTGAGTTTCACCACCCAGGATGCCGTGGGTCAGCACGGCTTTGGCCATCAGGATGTCGGGTGATGATTTCGGCTGCCCCGCATCCATCAGGGCGTTGGATTTGGCCACCCCAAATTCCACAGGGTGCCCTAAAAGGTTGAGTTTCACCACCCAGAACCCTTTGGGTCAACGTTGGATGTTGGCTTTGGCCGTGGGGACGTTGGGTAACAATCATGGCTGCCCCACATCCATCAGACGTTGAGTTTCACCACCCAGAACCCCGTGGGTCAACGTTGGACGTTGGCTTTGGCCGTGGGGACGTTGGGTGACGATTTTGGCTGCCCCACATCCATCAGACGTTGAGTTTCACCACTCAGAGCCCTTTGGGTCAATGTCAGACGTTGGCTTTGGCCGTGGGGACGTCGGGTTTGGCCACCCCACATCCCATGGGGTGCCATCAGATGTTGAGTTTCGCAACCCAGAATGCCGTGGGTCAAACGTTGGACGTTGGCTTTGGCCGTGGGGACGTCGGCGTTGTCTTCAGGCCGTGGTTTTGGTTGCCCCACATCCGTGAGGACTCTGAATTTGGCCACCCCACATCCCTGATTTGGCCACCCCACATCTCTGGGGACGATGCTTTGGTTGCCTTCCCCCATCTTTGGGTGGCCAAATCTATGGGGCCAGCAGCTGGGAGTCTGCGACCACCCCAAATCCTATGGGGCCACCATTGGTTGCAGTGTTCCCCCCCCCCCCAATCTATGGGGC